TTTTTTCTCACTTCTGTAGCTTTGGGGATTCAATGCACGGTACGTGATTGATATTGATCGAGAATAGAAGCATCTGTTGTACTCATTTAGCTTGATAGATATCTCGAGGTAAAGTGAGAGTTTGATCAATCGTTGAACTGAAAACAGGTCAAAGAATAATGATCGGTCGACAATTCCACTTTCAAGGTAAGTTTTTTTTAAATTGGACGACAAGAAAGAAACGATTTTCCGAAGAAAGATATTGTTTTAGTTTATGACCAATGTCAAACTCTACTACATGCTACTGTCTTCGATCAATTCGACTGGAAGTTCAGTAATCTTGCCAACGTACTGAATTCTCTCAAGATAGTTTAGAACAAAAGTTTTTCATGTCAACTTCTGATTCAATGTGCATGATTTCATATTAGACTCGATAAACGGTTATTTTTTTTAATTGAATACGTTGACCTGTACCCAATATGATCGATTTTATGCATTTGTCAAATTCGTCTTTGCCTTGGTGATCTTGATCAGTTCATTAATATTCATCCCAACGACACCAGAAAACCTTTGATCTTTATTCTTCCCTACAACATTTGGAACGCACTCCGAAATTCAATAGTTGTTGTACTAGTTTTTGCCATTAGATTCAATCTGTGATTAATAAGAAAGATTTATTAATTAACTGAAATCAATAAGATTTTGTAGCTGATATTTTGGACGGTTTCGATCAGAAACTTATTCCAGTAGTTAAGAATTTCTATCACTGATAATCATCATCTACCGCAACGTACACAGAGTATACCACATTGAATAGACGAGAAAAGTTTGCGAACATACAAGAAGATACTGTCAAAATGAAGATCAATCATCTGTCGAGTCGATTTAAAATATTTAATATCGAATATGAAATAGGTTTTTTTTGTCGATATCGATTTGATTTACTAAATAACCGTTTATCAACTAAAATAAGTGAAATGTAGATCAATTTTTCACTCTGTACAACCATGATGGAAATATCGATGCTCTTCGTACAATCATTTCCAAAAGATTTGACATGAGTTCTCATATCGTCTGTGAAGAGTTAAATCTTGTCATAGACACTCTTGATACTAGCATACATTGAGTACATGTGATCTTTTCTGGCATCAGCAACATCATTTCCGATATATTGCAGCGCGTATGCCACTGGAAATTTGTTCACTCTTGACACCACTGCCTTCGTGATTATCTTTGCTGGTATATCTGCCAATCAAGTGTACCGCAGTTCCACATAAAGCTTAGCTTCATTCTCAATAGGCGGTGCCGTGTCACTTCGAATAATTACTTGTCTCCGAACCATGAACTTGTATCTACCGGAGATAAATGCAGTGATTGCGTCTGAATGCAGCAGAAAATACAAAAAAGAACCAGTATCTACTAAGAGGTAAAAAGCCGAAGCATAGGAAGGAAGACAATAAATGAGGTTTTCTTGGTGTTGCAACACAAAAGCAATAAGATTACGGCAACTCGAATAGTAGAGTTGTCAAATGAGAAGGATAATGAAACTACCAACAAGTAAACCAGAGTTGTAACCAGACCGGCCGATCTACCGGTCCAGTAGAAGATTCCTTATCGGCCGGTAGAACCAACTTTTCTTTACCGGCCCGATCTGAGTTTTTTTTGAATTTTTCCCTATTTTTTCCGAAAAAGTGATCAAAAAGGTGGTTTTCTTCGAACATCAAAAACTTTCTACTAATGTCGAAGGCTATTTTGGTAAAAAAAAATTGTATCAAACTATCCTATCGAGTCAAAATTTGTCATGGATGTTTTTATATTTATCCAATCCATGTAGGTACGACGTTCTGCCAATATAGTTCAAGGAACGATATTTTATCATTTAAAACAGTTTTTATTGGCCAAAACTACCGTTTATCATACCTAAACGTCGTTTCAGAAAAGAAAATAGCCGAATATTGACCTTTGTAAACAGCACAGAAATGTTATTATGTGTATATAAGCTCGAATGCATACAAAAACGTTTCCGTAGCGTTTACGAAGGTCAATTTCCAGCTATTTTCTGTTCTGAAACGACGTTTAGGTATGATAAACGGTAGTTGTGGCCAATAAGAACTGTTTTAACCTACAAAATGCCGTTTCCTGAACCACATGAGTGTTGTTCAAACAAAATCAAATGGTTAATTGTTTAGCATTGTAGTTTATCATGGAGTTATATTTCCTATTATTTGTTACATATAGTCTTCACAGACACAAAAGATGGCAGAGCGAGTATAGCATACGAAGTAGATTAAGCATACGAGCAATAAATAGAGCCCATATTTGATGAATAGTTAATCAAAGTGCAAAGTTAACATAGAATTTATGGTCGTATGAACTTTTGTGCTCACCAATAGATTTCGAAAAACAGAAAACATATGAAAGCAAATAGTAAAAGCATTGCAGTGGTGAAATAGTACTTTTATATCGTAGCTGTAGTGATTAGAAGGAATATATGACTCATCTAGGTGTTGATTTGAGTGTTATATAGGGTCAGAAAACAGAAGAATAATTTATACCGGTATACCGGCCGGCCAGGACCGGTCTGATCAGTTAGACCGGTACCGGTACCGGTAAGGGAAAAATCCTACCGGTTACAACTCTGAAGTAAACGGCGCATAGAAGTGTTTTTCCAAGGGAGTAACGCTGTGATATCAAATAGGACTCATAACAAATTTTACACCCAAATACAGCACGGGAAAAATGATATTTATCAGTAACTAAATAGTAAAGATTATGAAAACTTTCCAGTGTCGCAGTTCAAAAACTTCTAGAATTTTACGCTCTGTTAGCATAGAAAATTACTTTTATGAGGCAATTGAAACTAGATCTAATTCAAAATGATGACTATCATAAAGTAATTTTTATTTGTTAAAGTTTGATGGATATAATCAGTAATTAGTATGACACCTTTAGTAACCTTTACAACACAGAGACGTGCCGAATAGAAATATAAGAGAGTTTTCATGTTTGTTAAAACGTCTAAGTTATGTTTTGTCCAGTGTTTCTTCGTGATAAAGATTACGTTCCGTCTGTGATAGTATTTTTTCTCAACTTCATTTTTGATTGCTGTTCTATTATTTTTAGCTACGCTTACATTAGGTAGACTTCCATTGATAGTTTGATCTGTACACATAAACTAGACATGAAATTCGTCTGATAGTGCAAAATGTTGAAAGTTCTCTTGAGTCCAGTCTTTTAAACAATTGCAGAATTACAGCCGATCAGAAATATAACTTTCTGTTTTTAAGGTCTTAGAGTAACATGAAATGGCGTTAGTCTTACTTTAAAGCAGTAGTTATCGATCATTTTTGGAACAACATATTCATTTTGCTTTTCTGTGATTTCTTTAGCTATAACATACGAACTTTTTCTTTGTTTCTCAATTGCACTGCGAATGAAATTTCTGCTGGTTTTTGATAATTTAAGTTTACAACGACATTCTGAATAATTAGCAAAATATTTTTCATACCACTTTTCCTACTACTCTATAACAAATCGAGTAGATCGATGAATTTTCTCCACAATCCACTGTTGAATAATAAATCTTGCATTAGCATCACGAGCTTCACGAAAAAAGATATATTTAACTCTATCGATAATTCTTGGCTGTTCGATGTTATAAGTACTAGGCACTTTTAATTGATGACTTTAATCGATTAATCAATGGGCAAAATTCTTTTTATTTGTGGAATCTATCTATAACAAATGATCTTATATAATGTCTTACCAAGTGTTTAAAAATTTTTGTCCTACAAATTTCCAACATAGAGCAGAAATGAGAAAAACAGTATTTACTAACCGTCGTCATGAATCATTATTCTTTGACAAAAAATGAGAAAGGAATGTTTTTTCTATAACGTTAACACTATGTAAAAGAACAAAAAAGAAAAGTGAGTACCGACGAGAAAATGTTTTGCAGTAAATGGAAATGAGCTTTGTTCTAAAAAACATGATGAAAAAGCTACAGAATGAAAAAGAATAACTGCAGTCTGAGGATTGAATTATGTTGCATACTTACAACAACGATATGTCTACGAATACATGTGAAAAGTTTCCATTCTTGTCAAACGACTCTTTAGTGATAGGTTATCACAATTGTACACCAGAAGTTTCTTGAAAATTCTTAAGTCCAACGTTGAAAAGTTTTCATAATCCTGATTATTTACCACTGATAAAAACTATTTTCGACGAGCTTTAGTTTGATATGAAATTTGTTATATGTGCTATCTAAAATCAGTGTTACTCTTCTGGAAAAATATTTTTTACGCATTCGGTAAAGTTTTCAAAACGCTTTCTGAAAGGATAGCTAAACACACCACACTAGAGCATACCACCTACAAAGGATATATAGAAGCGTTCATAGATATCATCAATGCTCTTTAGGATTTAAGAAACATTATATAGAGGAATTCATCACCATCGCCAATGATGACTCGATGCGCTTATGAAAAGTATATGCGTGAATTTTTAAGAATCTTTACTGGTACTGGAAACACATGGCGGATGTATAAGAGGGTTGATAACCGTCGGCAATCGAACCTGAGATTTATGAAAAGTTAAAATAAAATGTTATTGAGCGTCATTTCTGCTTCCGAAGCTTGATGACTAATACAATGCCGGGTCGACAAGATCAATAAACGGAACAGTACCAGCCAAGAAACATATCAAACTAGGCAATTCACATCTAATTCTCTTGATAGATTGACGAAGTCAATGGAGATAACGGAATGGAGGAAGAAAGTGGATTGAAAAAAATTGTTATTTAAATCGATTTCGTGCGATAGGTGTTTGAAGACGATGACAATAAAGGGTATGGGTGTGGAAGGAAATTATGAAAAAACTGATATCTATACCAGAGCTATTCTTCGAGCATTGAAGTTAAAATTAGACAATTCGTTTTTTTGGGGGGAATATCATTTTTGAAAAATTTCGTCGTTGAACAAAGAATGTTAAAAAGACGCATTTTCAACTATCTTTCGATTTTACGCCGGCAACTTCGCGTCTGAATCCATATAAACTCTTACAGCTACATGTTTTGGAAAGCAAGTGATGCGTTGTATAAATCCACCAGAATTGTTTGCCTCATTGCCAGCATCTTCAATTGTAATACGTTGCATAAGCCGTGTAATAGCAATTTTGAATTCAAACAAAGCCAAATCCTGACCGATGCATGCCCGATGACCACCACCGAATGGCATGTAGGCGTATGGAGTTGGATGTTTGTCTTCGTCAAGAAACCGTTCAGGAAGGAATTTCATAGGATCAATCTTCCAATAACGTGGGTCTCGGTGCATATTCTGTGTTGCAATTAAAAAAATATCACCTTTTTTGACGATAATATCATTGATTACATCATCCCGTGTTGCTTGACGAACGATTCCAGCAGTAATCGGAGCATATCTTAGTATTTCTTTCATGACACATTCCATGTAGACCAACTCGTCCAAGTCTTCGAGTGTAAGTATAGCATCGGAAGTTAAGCCATGACGATAGAGTTCTTCTTTGATCTTCGCTTGTACATCTGGATACTTTGACATAAAAAAAAAGAACCACGACAGTGCTGTAGATGTTGTTTCGAAGCCGGCAACCATTGACAAAGATACTTCATCGAAGAGTTCAGTGGGACTTAGCGATGCTTTTGATGAATCCGTTTCTAATCGGTCATTTTCAGCCGCAGCCACCATCGATGCAATTAGAGTTTTGGGTTTGGCCACGCGTTGTTGTTGTTGTTCACATTGCCGTTTTTGTTCTGCATGAATTATATGCATGACATACTGACGGAGAATACACAAAGCACGTTGAAATTTCGAATCGAGTGCTAAACGCAATCGTGCAATCCACAATGGAATGCTGGCCATCAGAGCAAAACGATTGGCACACTTGATAACATCGTTAAATGCTTGTCGAAGCGTGTCACCATCTTTTGACGAACCTTTCTCTAAATCATAATCGAAGCCAATGATGGTGATGATGTTCAAAAGCGCATGTTGACACTTGACAACGAGATTGGTGTGGATTCGCTGATCTTGATGCGAAAATTCTTTCTCAATGAACTGATCGATACATTGCACGATTTTATCGAAAAACAGCAATGTTTTGCTCTTTCGATACATTGGCAACATGACGCGAGAATGACGCTTAAAACTATCACCTCGGATGGCAAGCAAAGCTGTAGGAAAAACCAAGCTGAAATTACGATTAGTTGTTTCAGATATATCATAGGTATTTCGATCGGCTAAAATGTGGCGAACGTAGTCAGTGCAGGAAATAACAGTGATACGGCCACGTCCGAGTTGAATTGCAAATAAGTCACCGTATTTTACTTTCAGTTTGGCGATTGACTCATGAAATGCTCCAAGACCCGCAGTCCAGATGATACCTAAAACATTCATTATGCCATTGATCGAGTTCAATATTTGTATTACTAGGAAATTAGAGCACACAGACACACGTAGAGAAACAAAAGACGAGAAGAAGACAATAAAGCCGCTCTTTACATGCTTTCGTCAAGATTTTGCTTAAGAAAAATAAGAAAAAGAATACTAACCTATTAACCATTGTGTTGGAAGTCGTCGTGGTTTAGTAGCATCACGTTCAATGATGGAAGAAGAATATTTAAAATAGCGATAGACGATAAACGAAAATACCACCAGAATCGCAAATGATGTTGAAAGAAACATGTCTGCAATAGTTGTATGAGTACTGAAAATGAGAAATGAAGGAAGGTGCTTCAATAAAGAATTTCATTTTTCCTCAGCATGAAATCAAAGAAAAGAAAGAAAGAAAAAGATTCAATATCGTCGTCTGATTTTTTTTGCACAAAACATTTGAAGCTGCACGTCAGTGTTTTATTTTCGACAACAGTTATTCAATGGTGTCACAGAATAGTGTCCCTATTATCGATACAAACGTTTCAAGCAGATGTATGTGTGAGAAATGGATTCGCCATAGACTCTATCTAATTGCTAAAACTCTTGAGAGCTACTGAACAATCAAAACAAGACTTTAGTCAAATAGAGTAATACTGCTGCTATGGCAACAAGTAATAATTCTGCACCTTTTGACCGAAATGTTATTGCAGTTGAACAAAAAATCGTCCTTGAATTTACGTAAATTTCGTTTTTCAAATGTATCGATAAGTGATAAATTTTCATAAGATTCACAGCTAAGTAAAATAGAATGCTCTCAATGTGTGTCATTTTTTTTTACTGATGTTTATGAGTAGAGGAGAAAACACTGAACAGAACTGAATTCTTAGCATGAAAGAGTTTGTTGCTTTTGGTGGCAATTGTTTGATATTGAGCATTGAATCAGGTGTCTTTATATCCGAATGCTTTTGGCGACAATAGAATTCGGGAAACATAAGTACAGTCGGTCTATTGTACGAGCACCATCCTTTTCTAAACGAGACAGACGAGAATATGTCAATAACGAACGAACGCACACTATAAACAAGGTCGTATCTTTTGTTTTCCGTTACTACTTCTCTTGAATTAAATAAATGTTGTCAAGTTCCAACTAAATGTCGCATTGTCTTTCATAGATTCCATTTGTCAAAAGACATGCTTTGATTTTGTAGCGATGTTGCTGGTTATACAGAAGGTATGTTGATTGAGTGCCTCTTGTTTACATTCAGCAAGAGACAATAACTTAACTTTTAATACGAAAAGATAGTCCTAAGGACCGATGGTCACTTTCTATTCATGAACTCGATGTCAATCGATTTATTTGTCTATGTATGCACTAAATGAACTGTAATTTCATAATTTCATATAATCGCATGTAGAATCAAACGAAAACAATGAAATCCAGTAGAGTTATTCGTAGAAGTGTTCATTGATTTAAGTTTTAGGTACATTAATAGTTTGATATTCATCTCTATCAAGTGAATATCTATCACACAAGACGTATGAAGAATGTATTTCTTTCCAGGCTGGGCGTTTTGGTTATCGAAATCGAGGATTCCATTTAATTTTCAGCAACAGTTTCTAAATGCTTCATTGATCTTGGGCCGGTTCCGTTCGGATCCGACGATTTCCTTAAAACCAAATTTCGTTACAATGTCTGCCGAACGAATTCCAGTCATTTATACCGAAAAACAATCAACACTTTGTCGAAAGTTGTTGGAAATTGTGGTCAAAGCTCATACCAGAATCCAATTTCAAATGCTAAGTTATTTTTCAGTACGTCACACAAAAATTTCCTGGATTCATACGAGTTCGTCTGACTCGCTTTTTCGCCCAATAACATTCCAGAAGCTTTCGTTAGATGAATGAGTTGCAAGAACTCACAGTGGCTCATCCTAAAACGAGGAGGAACTTATTAATGCCATATATATGAGTATCCTTGTTTATACAATCGATGTGCAATCACTTGCAATGACTTTCTGACGAATCTAGTCACTACACAACAGCCTTCAACGGACAATCTCATACCGATCGTAGCCTTCATACATTATACTGAGAGGATGAATAATGCGAGTGATGAAAAACACTCTTTACTCGCGAGACAATCGACATAATTGTGATGCTACTGATCTAATAGAAATGGTTTCGCTTCTGAATCTAATTCTCAATGTTTTCATTTATTTTCTATCAGTTTGAAAGAGTCATGATGCAACAGTTGCGGAAAGAAATTTCACCTCTACCTGTCTTTTTCACAATTATGATAAATAGCTGTTCGAGATTTCAGCCACTTTTCCAAATTTCTTACTTTCATGTGATATCAATTACGACTTGGATGTGATATGCTCCATGGCATTTATTATTTTGTCTCACTTGAAATAACACTGAATGCGCAAGTAACTGGAATCCCTCTGCGTTCTACTGATAAATGATCTAATACATTCGAAAGGCTAGAGAAGAGAAGGGTACTTCCATTGATGACATGGTAACAGTCTAGAGTATCTTTTACGAAATGTCTTCGATTTTTCATTCTTGAGAAGATGTCTTTAAGAGTAGATGTTCCTGAGAAACAGTCCTTGAAAAAAAAATGTCTTCCATTATCAAAATGTCGGTTCAATAAAATATGAACAACAG